CTGAGGATTTCCTGTGGAGCTGCTCAAGTCGTCCATGTTTCCAGTTTTTATCCTTCAAATAAAAAGCAATTATTGTGCCCCTTGTTTCAATGCTTGGGTTATTATTCCCATAGATTAACACACGAAGTAGTATGTTTTCTTTACAGAACTGAGTATAAGCATAGTATCTGCGTTAAAACTTTCTCATTTGATATTTTGAGTGCGCATTTCTCTCCGATGCTTCAGAATTGCTGTGTTGGTCCAAATCCACCTTCAGCGAAACTAATTTACATTGTGCAATGTAGGACTTGTCACACTAATACATGCTGACCACGGAAATCAATGACTCATCTGGATGGGACAGTAAATAATGCTTACACTAGCCTCAGTTGCAATCAACGTTTTCTTCTCAGCGTTGGAGCATTATTACCGTGCCTCTGCACATCGGAACTAATAAAAAGGTGCTGAACATGAACTTGTAATGATTTTCTGCGTTCAGACCGTTCGCGCTGTACCTCCAAGAGCTTGTACAGTGCTGAGAGTCTTGTTTCAGTTAAAGCTCTTTAATTTGGGGCGGTGGGGAGTGAGTGCTTGATTGACTTTTCTCAACTTTTATCAGCATTTCTCACTGGCAAACGTTGATGTCTTTTTCATGTTGTTTTTTTCTTAGGGTGATGGGTTGGTACAAGCCAGAGGGTCACGTGGGCCTAAGGTAAGAGTCAGAAGTAAAATGAAAATGTTTATAGATACCTTGAGACGTAAGTGTAACTCTGTAGACAGACCTGATTCACACATGAGGAGATAATAACAGACCCCATCAGGCAAAAACAAAACTGCAACATTTATGTCAAAACTCCACTTCACTTGTGATTTCTTATCCTTCTTCAGTTTATCAACTTAAAGCATTTGCTCTCTAAAAAGTTATTATTTTGGGTTCAATTTTGTTTCAGAAATTTATCGATACAGAACTTTAATTTCTGACAAAACAGTTTGGTTCCGTGGGGAATTACCTTGGATGTTCTGTGTCTGCCGGACCCGGTTCTGGAGGGCAGTCATCGTCCGTTGTTGCGGTCGTTATTATCATCATGCTGCTAACGGGACCCACACTGCTAACAGTACCATGGTGCTAACGGGACCATGTTGGTAAGACAGGGGTCTGCAACCTTCGGCTTTGGAGCCACATGCGACTCTTTGGATCCTCTACAGCGGCTCTTTCAAGCTTTGACCAAAACTGATATAAAACTGAATTTTATTGGTTGTTATAACAACAACTTAAAGGGCTAGTTTTTAGCAGTTTTCCTGTAATTTATTTTGCAAATATATGAATACTATAGGCAGCACGGTGGCACAACTGGTAAAGCTGCTGCCTCTCAGCGAGCAGGTCCCTGGTTCAAATTCCGGTCTGGGGGCCTTTCTGGGTGGAGTTTGCATGTTCTCTCCGTGCATGCGTGGGTTTTCTCCGGGTACTCCAGTTTCCTCCCACAGACCAAAAACATGCATGTTAGGCTGATTGGTAACTCTAAATTGTCCCTAGGTGTGAATGAGACAGTGACTGGTTGTTTGTCTTTATGTGTCCCTGTGATGGACTTGTGATCTGTCCAGGGTGTACCCCACCCCTCGCACTGTGATTGCTGGACATGGGCACCGGTGACCCCGTGACCCAAAATGGAAGAAGCAAGTAAAAGATAATGGATGGATGGATGAATAATAGAAACATTAAAAGGAGTTAATCATACTTTCACTTCATGTCTTATTTCTTCAAAACAGGATACGTATTTTTTCTACAATAAAAAAATCCCATAAGAATGCATAGTTTTATTGTTTTAGTTTTTAGAAACTGGGCAAAAACTAGATTATTTTTTTCCTTTTTTACAAGAATCTCATCTTTTATTTTGTCTTAGAATGTAAAAATATCAATAAATATTAAAAATCATTAGATATCTTTAGTTTTATAAAATCACACCTACTGTCCAGAAAAACGTCTTCCAACAAACTTGAAGTGGTCTGCGGGCCACCAGTTGAGGACCCCAGTGGTAGCAGATATTGTGGCTCTGGAAATGTTTAATTTAGTGAACAAAGGGGCAGAAATGGCTCTTTTGATCGTAAAGGTTGCAGACCCCTGTGCTAAGAGAACCTCACTGCCAACACGCTGCTAATAGGACCATGCTGATGTAGATGTATTTATTTTACACTTTGGGTGCCTTGTTTTTGTATTTTTGTTGCATGCTTTTGTATTTCTTGTTTTTTAAGATTCAGATGGACAACTGATCACCGGTCACGCGCCGCCGCTAACCTGCTGGTTGAAAGAGATGAAAAAAAAGTCCTGTTAATCTTAGACAGACAACGAGATCATCAGCCATGCGCGTCCTTTGACCGGCTGGTTGAAAGAAATGAAAAAAAAAGTCCCGTTAAGCTTCAGATGGACAACCTGATCACCGACCGTGCGCGTCTCTGCAACCTGATGTCATCTGCAGTGAAAGAAGTTGCAGCATCCGAAGAAAAGCCGAAGCAAGCAACGCGTTCAATTAAAATAGGCTTGTTCTATATTTTTCCAAATAATTTTGCTCGAAAAATATTTTTGCTCATTTGTATAATAGCTTATCTTTAGAGTTGATTCTTTTAGGCTATTCGTTTTGTTAATAATCATTTGGTGAAACAAGAAATCTTATATCTTCCTTTCTTTGAGACATGTTTTTAAAACCATAATGATTTGCTTTCAAAAGCAGTAAATGCTTAATTAAAAAAAATTAAAAAAAAGTATTATTTTCGGGTTTGGGCCTGTAATTACAATTAATTGTCAGGTCGGTTCCGGAAAAAACGGCTTCAGGCTGGGACCGGGCTGTGTCAGATTTTTTTAGGCCCAAATGCAACTCTACTTCCAGACCCAATAAAGTAAAAAAACTTTTTTTTTAAGTAACTTTTGCAAAAGTCAGAACACTACAGGCTCACTCATGTCACAGCAGTCCATCTGAGAAACTGAACATTAACTTAACATTACTCAAGGATAAAAAACAATTTTTGGTTAGATTTTTAAGGAACTTTTTAATGTTTTTAATGATATCTACAGTGGATGCGTTAAAAACAATTATATTCTGGTAAATCTTGACTAATAAGCATTAGACTTGATGTAAAATAACTGAATAAAATACATTATAATTGTTGCTAGATAAGTGATATATACATTAATAAATTAATTTAAAACTTCCGATTCATAATTTACCCATTTAAAAGTTTAAAATAAAACTTTTCTAGTTCAAACATTTTAAAAAGAGAAACAACTTTCTTGGAGTGTTCTGTACGTTTTATTTTTTTTTACCGTTAAACAGGAAGTGTTGATTCTCAAGTACACTGAAGGTGCTATCTTACCAATAAACAGGATGTATACTCACATACTGTGCTCTACGGGCTTTATTTCACTCTTTGACAGAAACTTCAACTTCTCCTAAGGTTTTCCTTTAATATCAAAAGTATTGGCTTGTAGAATAACGATGAGTTCAAATGTAACAGGTGTAAAAAGTTTATAAGATTATGATCATCATAGATCAAGCCTGTTTTGGTCAAACCATGAAAAAAAAACTTTATGTGATGTATTCATAGCCAAAGTATGAGTCATGAATGACTCTCAACTACTACCAACTCAACTTTTAGCTAAATATTTGTAAAACTTGACTGAGTTATAGACATTTTTGTCTTAGCTTTTGTTCATTATCTGTGGAGGCCATGTTGGATTGGATCAACTCATGAATTTAAGCAGTTGTAGACATTTATCTAATGATTCAATTTTAAAAGTTTTATTCAAATCTGTTCATTGGTTCATGAAATATTTTGCTAACAGACAAACAGGGTTGATTCTAACAGTAAATGCTACATGTTTTAGGCAAAGATTGTGCACAATGTGTAGTGCTTGGACTATGTGCTAGGTATGACTCCCTACTACTATACTGGATTTTAACTTATTTGTAAAATTATATAAATTGTAGCCATTTTTGTGCTTGTTAAGCTCAGTTGGCTGTGGCGGCCATCTTGAATTGGGTTGACTTCAAATATTATTGAGCTGTAGAGGTACATCCGCTGATTATTTCCTGAGAATTTCATTAAAACTTGTGCTGTGGTTCACAAGATATTATGCTAATGGACAGACACATGAAGCCATAATACAATGGTTTGCCTTTGATTTTCAGCAGTGGGTGGTAATTAAAATGTGTCTGGCCTGACCTTTACCTTAAACTCACCAAAGATGATGAAAGGAAAAGAGTTCTGTCAGAGTTTAATAGTTAATGATCTCGCTGTGCAGCTAACCCCCCTTAAGATTCACCTTCCCATGTGTTTTTTTTTTTTTTTTTAAGGGCGAGAGAGGCATGCCGGGATTACCAGGAGACCATGGAGAAAAGGGAGAACCTGGGGAGAGCATCACTGTGAGTATGATGTTGCATCGATTGGTCCGTCACTCCATCATTCATTATTTACCAGGCTGCTTCCACGTTCCAGTGTTTGTCACAGATTTAAAAAATAAAAATTTAGGTGTAGTGAGCATTAAATACATCTGACGGTGAAAATCACTGCTCATTACCGCGAGGAGTCGGCGAGTTGCATCCTGGCCTCATTAGAAAGCGACAATCTCGTCTACGCTACTTTGAACCTCGCAGGGTTGACTGGGAGCGAGCGTGTGTTCTTTTTTTGGGGGGGAAAACAGGATAGCTCGTGACAAGGAATCAATAGAGCAAAAGGTGTCTAACACAATTACTGCACAGGATCCGGGTGCTAGAGGGGAGCTGGTGTTAACAAGATGTGTGATGTGTTTGTAGGGCCCCACGGGACCCCCGGGGAAACCAGGAACTGAGGTCTGTGGAAAACGCTCCCAACTCACAACGCTTCACGTTGATTTTCCAAAGCGTTTCAGTTTGTTGCTGTTGTGGCCAGTCACGTTACGAATAAATACGTTTTGAAAGCGAGATCACTTATAAAGCTCCGTTGGTTTTCTTCAGGGCCCCCGTGGATCACAAGGTTTACCTGGACCTACTGGACCACCAGGGAGAGAGGTAAGTGAGTTCAGTTTATCACTTTGCTTCTACTCCCACATCTATGTGCACATAAAAGATAACTAGAAGCATAAAACAATGTCAGCCTCTCGCTGTGGACGAACATGTATCACAGCTCCGGGACACAGATCCCCACCAACTGAGATGACTGAAAAGTTACATCCCCACACGCCTGCATGATATCACTGTACAGCCAGGGAGGCTGTTAACTCCATTCTTTGTCTCAATTTAAGGGCTCCCCTGGTAGACCAGGTCTGCCGGGCCCTGCTGGACCTCCAGGTGAACCGGTAAGTAAGAAAATCTCATTTGCGCTCTGTGCAGTTCGGCATCACTGATCAGCTATGAGACCTGCGGAGATCACCTCGCAGGCAGCATCAGGATTTAGAGCACAGAGCTCCAGTTTGGGGATAATTAGCAGCCAGTTCTACTCTTGGCTAAACAGCATCACTTTCAGGAAAATGCTGCAGTTTGTAAAAAAAAAAAGAAACTGTCAGTCGTTGGCATTTGTGCGTTTCAATTGAGCAGCGTTTGTTGTATTGCTGATAGCTGCAGTGTGAGAACCATATGGACTCTGCTGCTTTGGCATCACAGCCTTGTTGTGTAAATGTAGCGTAATAACGTGCCGATGTTTATGTTTGCTAAAGACATGTGACTGGCGTTCATTAATTTTATGTTAGGGGGAAAAAAACAATGAAAAAGCTTTGCCTTTAAGCTTCATGTATATATAAGCATGATTGTTGATTCTCAATATTTTTTATGATCTTTATTTATTTATTAGCATTTTTTTAAGATGCAGGTGCGCAGAAACAACTGATATCTGTTAGAAAATTGTGACAAACTACCTCTGAATGCAACATGTTCTGCTTTATTTTGTCCTGACAGACTGCCCTGCCTATCGTTGGAGACATGGGTGCTTTACTCAAGGTATTTCATTTTTATTGCTCTGTATAATTACAGCTTTTACACAGGAATGACTTGTAAAAGGTGCTGGGTTAGTATTTAAAAATGATCAGCGTTCAAATAATGGGTGAGATCGGTAAAGATAGATACTGTAGGGCTGTGAGTGCCTCCAGCAGGATGACTGGAGAAGTGCTGTCAATCCTGAAAGTTACAACAAAATCCAAAAATACATTAATTAAAGCCTGTCATTGACTTTATTATGGATAATCACATTTTTTAATCTGTTGCAACAGTTCAAATATGACATGATGGATTAAAAGATTTTTTAAGACTAAATTTTTAAAAGTAAAAAGTATTTTCCATTTACCAAACTTTTTTTTTTTCCCTCACAAACCACCTGAGAATTGTTGCACTACACACATATATATGCAAGTTTCACAAACTTTGAATGTTGGAGACATAAAAATAACTGTGCCGATGATGCATTATCACAAAACTAATCAACGGTTCTAAGTTTGTATCTGGAAAATTAAAAGTAACTAGAAAAATTGCATTTCCTGCAAAAAAATGCAGTGTGAATGCATATTGCTGAAGAACTTGCTGAAAAACAGCTGAAAATAGTTTAAAAAAAAAAAACAATCTGAAATGTAGCTGAAATAGAAGGACAAGCCTAAATTACCAGAAGAAATAAGAAAGAACACATATTTACTGAATTTGGTTTAAAACGGCCGAAATAAGTCCAAAAATTGGGAAATTTGCTAAAAAAAAAAAACTAAAAAAAAGGTGAAATTAACAAAAAACATAGATGAAAAAAAAATCTGAAAAGGCAGAAAGAAGCTTAAACTGCTGGAAGGAAGTGAAAAGAACTGAAATGAGTTAAAAATGTGGAATTAGCTGAAAAAGCTAAAATTAGCATCAAAAGAGCTAAATACTAGCTGAAATAGCAGAAAAAGCTGAAACCAATAGAAAAAAGCTGTAAAGAGCATAACAAGCTGAAATTAGCAGAAATAATATAATTAAGCTGAAGGTAGCAGACACTACCACAACAATTTTGAATTTATCTGAAAACAGCTGAAATTAGCTAAAAATGCTAAAAAGCTAATTGAAACATTAGAACAAGCTTAAATTAGCAGAAAGAACATGTTTGCCCAACTGTGCTGAAAGAAGCAGAAATGAGAACAAAGAAGTGGAAATAATCTGAAATTAGCAACAAACAAAAAAAACCTGCTGAAAAGTAGCTAAAAAATCAGAAAGAAGCTTAAATTGCCAGAAGGACATGGAGAGATCACTTTTTTGCTGAATTAGGCTGAAAAATAATTGAAAGGAGTTTAAAAAAATTGAATTAGCTGACAAAGCTAAAATGAGCATAAAACAGCTAAATAGTAGCTGAAATAGCAGACAAATTTGAAACGTGCATAAATAATCTAAAAGGAGCTGAAATTAGCAGAAATAAGATAGAAGAAGTACATAAATGTAGTATTTAGCAGAAAGAATCTGAAAGGAGCACAAAACAGATAACAAAAAACAGCTAAAAACAGCTGGAAAAAGTTTGAATTTGCACAAGGAAGTTGAAGGAAGCTGTACCAGAACAAAATGTGAAAGGAGCAGTAAAAGGTTGTAAACAGATTTAAATATTTGAAGTATGTAAAATGAGCTCAATTCATTTCTTTTGAGAAAAGAAAATGGCAGAAAAGTCTAAATATTTCAAAAAACTAAAGTTGCACCAATACCAAAGTGATAGCGCCCTTCTCCTGAACGAGCTGAACGTTTTGATACATGATTTGTTGAAACAGCACAAGAAATTGTAGAACGAGAAAAATGCCGAAAAACACACGGAAGAAAAATGGATCATAATAGAGAGAATGCTTCTTAACCATTCACACAATAAAACTTGAGTTCAATTCAAATAGATGCCTTTGCACAGTAAAATCACAATTGTTACAAAGTGTAAGAAGCCTGACATTAAAAGCCGCTGAGAACAGCTGAGATTTCACTGCTGTTAAGTTTTGTTGATTTCCTTCATCACTTCAGTCATTAACCTGTCAGACTTTCAGTTAGATAAAGCCAGATGTGATTCTTTTCGCCCTCGTTCTTGTCGTTCAGTGTTAACTTTTTAAAAATGTACGTGCTACAAGAATAAAATTCTCCATTTAACTTTTGTCAAAAACATAATGAGCTCTAATCAGGATTTTGGACAGATTATTGACAGCAGAACAACCAAACCTTTTTGAAGCGGAGATGGTTTTGTAAGCTACTAGCTTGATAAATAAAAGACAAGAATGTTTTTTTTTTTTTTGTTAAATTTTAATTGATAGTACTTTTGGTCACCCTGCCTGTTTCTGACTTGTCGGAGCACCCAGATGCATCCTGGACGCTCTGCGTTAGCGACAGTGATACTAACCTAAATGTCACAACCAATGACTTTGACAAAGTTCACCTCCTGCCTCCGTGCAGGTTCACATTATTTCTGCTCAGCAGACATTTAGGGAACAGTTTGTGTCAGTTTAGGTGCTGTCTCCCTACCGGGGAGGTGACATAATATGAGGTGAAAACACAGTGTGCCAGCTCAGCGTGATGAAATCTTATCTGTGCCACCGGTGTTGCTTCTTGCTTCGCCCGCACTGGCAGAACGCCTGCAGTGTGTGCCAGACGAGGATTCCCGGGCTGCCTGGGCAGAAAGGAGAGAAGGGCCCCCCCGGAGCGCAAGGACCAGAAGGCTCGGTGGGAGAGAAGGTACTTCCAGTTCAAACTTTTTATATATTTTCTAATAATTTGCAGCTTTTTGGGTTCGGCGTAGAGTGATAAATTGGTTATAACATCTGTTCCTGCAAAACTTTTACTTAAACTAGTTTTTAAAACACAGAAAGTACATTTTTGGCAAACATATTTTTGCTTTTTTTTGTTTTTAAACAAACAAAAAAAAAAGGTCATAGGGCACCCTGAAAAAGTTTGAATACCCCAGATCTTAGATTTTATTTATTTTTTTCAAAGTATCAGACCACAGCATGTTGGTGCTTTGTCCAAACTGGTCTTATAGTTTGCAGTATTATAGTACGTAAAGTGGTTTCAGTACTTTGGAATAACTCCTTAAATATTGCCTTTGTAGTTAAGCTGTCACGAACTGACCACTGCTCTGAAAATTCAAACACCTGACTCAGACAGAGCACAAGGACACTGTGAGACCAGAGGGTTTTCAGTCGTTTTCTCTGCAGTTGTTGACGTGATAAAAAAACAAAAAACCCTGAAACTAACTGAAACAAAGCAAAGTCAGGTTGAGAAAATACTGTAGGATGAGAGAAAAGTGAATCAGAGGAGCTGCTGTTGACTCTAAAACACCTCCAGGAAGATTTTTCAGGCTTCGTAGTGATGCCCCAAAACAAAAAGGATCTTTACAGAAAAGCCCTCAGTGGGAAACTCTTCTGCAGCTTTGTTGTAAATTTTAGGTTTGGATGATGTTGTGGGGTCTTTTAGACGTTCTAAAGCAACTTTGTGTTTCACACTCACAAGGGTGGAGCAATAAATAAATAAATTTGTTGCTGGAAACACCACAGATTTTGCAAACATCTAACATTACCTCATTAATATCATATTATTATCACCTTAATGTCCTCATATTTGAAGTTTTATTTTATCAAATTACTATACTAAACCACAGTTTTACTACAAAGTTTTGTAATTTCTAAGCTTGACCCCACCCCCCTTTATAACCACATTTTACCAATTTTTCTTTGGGTAATTGTTTTATTGCTGCTAGATAATTACATGGTTATAACATTAATAAATGCATACATAATAATTGTATTTTTGTTACATAACTATTAACATGCTATTACTATCACCTAGTTACTGCTAGATAATTAGATGTGTATAACTTTGTTGTTTTTACACAAATTATTTACATAACATTACCTAAAACTACCAAATAATTATTTTTTTATTACTTGGCTTTACCCCAATATTACCATCCTATTACCCTTTTTACTGCCAGGTCATTGTGTGGTTGTCCTTTAGGTAAATACATAAGTTTACCTTTTTTATCACATTTTTTATCCCCCAACTTTTACTCTACTTGTTCAACCTTATTATTACTACCAGGTCATTACATAACCTCTGTAAATACAATATATTACCTATGAATTACATTTTTTTTTACCCAACTATTACGCCACTGTTACTACCTATTTATTCTTGCTAGTGTCAGGTATCTACATGGTTATTACATAATTTTCTTGTTAATTACATTGTTTTACTGTACTGTTACCAAATCATTACCACCTTACTGTCATACTGTAATGTAAAATATGACTAAAATAATACAAATAAATAAATAAACTTAAAATCTTACGACAGGCTATAAAAAGCATCATATACTGTAGTTCCTCGATTATCGCAGGAGTTATGTTCCAGACGCAACTTCGATAGGTGAAAAACTGTGAAGTAATGTTATATTCATTTTAGTATATATATATATTGAGGCTTTAGAAACCCTTCCCACACTCTTGCAATGTTCTCAACGACATTCTAAACTCTTAAACCTATTTTAACAACAGGTGAATATCCGGTTTTGTCTTGAACTTTTTTGAATTTACTGTACAGTACTGCAAATTTTTTATTTGGATATCCACCTGCTCTGCAGAACAGCAGCTCGGTTCTGGTCGGGCTTGGTTCCGGTTCTGCAGACCTACCCTGCAGCGACAAAGCCCACCGCCCCGTCCAGGTTGATGTGCGCATGGATAATTGAGCTTCAGGATTATCTATGACTTTCCTGCCAGTTCTGTGAGCTTAATAAATAGATCGTTACTTCTGACTTTTTGTTGCAAAACTTTCCCTCCATTTCAGCAGAAATCAGTGTCCAGAAGCAGTGTTGGCTTCTGGGTAGTGTAGTTCTTTTGACTTGTGTTAAAGTATAGGCTTATTGAAAGAAAACTACAAAATGGTGGCGCCTGTCCGAAGGTTTTTTTTCTTTTTATCTCATACCATCTCAATCATGTGACTAATATTAAAGTTGAAAATCATTGTCGTGTACAATCTTACACCGAAAAACAGTGAAAGAGCGAGTCCGCCAAAGTCGAACCACGAAGTATGGAGGACTACTGTAAAATAAACCTTACTGTGGTAATAATGGAGCAATTTGTGGTTGTGCTTCAATATGGCTATATTTTACCTCATTTTTTTATTAGTAGGAAACTGTGAATGATAGAAATTAAATAAGTACTTAAATATTTTTAAGTCGTATTTATTTTTGTATATGCATTTTGGAAAGTGAGGTCTTTTTTTCCTCATGCTGATAGTAACATAAACCATAGGAGATTAACTTTGTCATGCCACTTGCAGCGTGCCTAACAGGAAATAAATATTTATTTCCGTTTCAAACAGGGAGATCCAGGCGTAAGAGGTCCGATGGGGAACCCTGGGAAGGAGGGTCCTAAGGTAGGGCTAGAGAATGGTTCTCATTAGTAAATAATTCACTAGATTAACCAAATAAATTTAAATTATTTAATCATTCAGCATGTCAAGACAATCTAAATTTAAAGACATCAAATTTGTCTTTTTGTGTTTAATCTTTTAATAAAAATTAAAACTTACGAATGCTTTTAATAAATGTCCCCCCTGTATCATCTCCGGTAGCCTACTGTAGCTATTTTCATATTCAAATGATTATGAACACTAGGTGCTCTCTGGAGAAGTTGTTGCTATGGATACAGCCTTGCACCACAGTGAAACAGGCTCAGCGATTTCAAGTTGTGTGCTGAAAGAGATTTTTTTTTTTTTTTTTAAGTTTACAGCCATCAGCCTTTTGGTTTGAGCCTTTTTCATGGTTGGAGAGAAAAAACACTTACTTTTCCTTAACTCGTTGGTTCTGCTCTCCTGCAGGGAGTGAAGGGAGAAAGAGGCTTCCCGGGACCTACTGGAGATAAAGGTGACGAGGTGAGTGGGGTGGGGGTGGGGGGTTTGAACCCAGACAAATTCATGTAACCATCTGGAAATGGCTGTGACACTGAGAGATAAGTTTTTCAAAAGGATGTAAATGTATTGTAATTTTGGCCTCTTTTTCAAGCCTGCGCTGGATGTTTTAAAAGAATTGATCAAATTCTATCCACAGAGCTGCATGTGCCCTGTGTGCTAGCAATGTCTCAAAACACTTTATGAAGAACGACGCCTGACATACGTAACTGTGTACTGAATACTTTTTCATCAGAGCCGAGACGCCTTCAAATGGTTATTTAGCAACAAAGTCTGGAGGTCATTACAGTTAGTTTTAATTAGATAATCATATCAAAGTTCAATGAAAAATAGTTTAAAGCAGTAAATATAAAGACAGTCGATGTCATTTTTAAATTTTAAATTAAAGCCAAATGAAACATGCTGAAGAAAATAAACTACAAAACAAATTTGAGACCCTACATCAAGCATTATATTAGTTTTACAGCATTTTTATTTGCTGGATTATTATGCAACTATTTTATTTCAGTAGAAAACGCATCATTATATAATTATTTATATGATTTTTTTTGTTTGTTTAAAATGTTCTAGTATACATTTTACTTTCCAGAAGAAGTTGTTTCTTTAGTCTAAGCTTTGCTTGAGAAAGCATTTACACACTTTTTATATTTTATTTTTTGCATGAACTGTTCAAAGTCATTGGATGCAGAAGGCTTTTTTGTTGCATTTGTAGTTGAACATTTTGTTCATGAAATGTTGTTATGCATCATTATATCTGAAGAAGTTTCTGACAGTTTTACGTTTAATGAATTGGAAATTAGAGAAAAATGTTTCCACTTTTTTATGTTGTTGAATAAAACAATTACTTTTTAGCTGATAGAAGCTGCATTTCTGTTCTGGAAATACATGTAAATTTATGCTTGATGTCTTTCTTAGCATTCTTAAACAAATCATTTTAAATTATTGTTTGAATCATTATTTTAAAAGTGGAGTAGCACGGTGGCTCAGTTGGTAGAGCTGTTGCCTCTCAGCGAGAAGGTCGGCGGATTGAATACTGGCCAGGGGGCCTTTCTGGGTGGAGTTTGCATGAGAGAGGGAGAGAGAGAGAGCGCAAGAGAGCGAGAGAGAGCGCGAGAGAGCGCGAGAGAGCGCGAGAGAGAGCGAGAGAGCGCGAGAGAGCGCGAGAGAGAGCGCGAGAGAGCGAGAGAGAGAGCGCAAGAGAGAGAGAGAGCGCGAGAGAGAGAGAGAGCGCGAGAGAGAGAGAGAGCGCGAGAGAGAGAGCGCGAGAGGGAGAGCGCGAGAAATACAGCAGATAAAGAGAATGGACAGACGGACGGACGGACAGAATATTTTAAAAGCTACTGTTTAACAACTCATAATTAGTTATCTTTATCCCTTTGTAAATGTATGGATGGATGGATGGATGGATGGATGGATGGATGGATGGATGGATGGATGGATGGATGGATGGATGGATGGATGGATGGATGGATGGACGGATTATTTGAAAAGCTACTTTTTAAAAACATTGTTCATCTTTATCATTTTGTGGTTGGATGGATGGATTGATGGATGGATGGATGATGGATGGATGGATGGATGGATGGATGGATGGATGGATGGATGGATTATTTTAAAAGCTACTTTTTAAACACTCGTAATTTTTCATCTTTATCACTTTGTGAATTGTGTACGGACAAAAAACATCCAACCTGTAGTAATCCTCTGTTCATACTGTAGTATTCACAACTTCTGCACACTCATACGTACCTCACAAAATAAAGTGTAGAGTAAACAGACATCCGCTTTTACTTCACATGTTGTTTTTAGAGTTTGTCTCTACTTTTGGGAGTTGTGTCACTTTCGTAATAGTCTGGTGCTCATATCACCATCACTGACTGACAGATTCAAACGTACCGACTATCATCGTTACTTTACACACAAAATAACAGATCCCTAAAAAACGCAGCTGCTCGGTGATGAGAATGAAGTCAGTTATTTCAGCAACTGTCACTCCTGAACAGATGTGAGCTCAGTGCCGAAGGTTTCATTTACTGACGGAGAAACTAAACCACGTGAACAATGAAACTTGCTGTGCTCGTCTTTGTATCTGTTCAAAATGTGTGGATGTCAATGATCTATAAGCTATGCTATAATGGAATAGTTGCAGGAAGTTATAAATTGTATCACTGTTATGCATGTTGATAAAAATAATTATTACATATTTGTCTTTTCCAGGGGCCTCCAGGAGCACCAGGGCTTCCTGGTGCAACAGGTCGAACAGGAATCCCAGTAAGACTTTTGTCATATGTTTTATTTTTTAAGGTCCAACTTAATGTTACGAACATATGTTATTTCTGACAACTCAGAGGAATAAAAATCTAACTGTTTAAATCCTTAAATTTCTCAATACCACAAGTCTTTACTTTAAATGGACTTAGATGGACTTGATGAGGCAGTGGGTTTTTTTTTTTTGGTTCAGTCTACTTTACAAAATAACTAAAAAAAATTATGAGTCCCAGTCATTTTATTGGATTTTATGTGTAAACAAAAGTATATGGAGTTTGCCGCCATATATATTCAGATTATTTTGAATCTTAAAGGCTACTGAATTCTACTTGTTGGCGCCAGGAGTAAACACAAGAGCTTACCTGTGATTTTAAAGTATGGTTATAAGACATAAAGGAATATGACATAAAATCACTTGGGGAGTTAAAGGTATTTGGGTTTGTAACGACCACAGTAGTACTCCAGGGATCCAGCACGCCAATCTTCAGGATCATGTTTTCAGGTCTACATACTGTGAGACTCTAAAACTATGACCCAGGCTAATATTTTGGACACAACCGAGCTGAAAACATTTTAGGTGCCATACTTGCCATAGTAAACGTTGCGCCGCCGTATAAGACGCATCAGTCCAAATATGTCTAATAAAGTGGAAAAAACATAAATGTGTCACTTCGCCTTATAAGTCGCATCTATTATGCATCACTGCTGGCGCGTTGTGTTTGTTATGCGTCACCACCACTGACCACCCAGAAAGGTCAAATCAGCTGTATTTCAAAAGCTGATACACTTAAGTTGGGGTGTGCAGGAGAGGACTCGCTGTGCATTTCTTCAAAAGTTAACAATATAGCCACCTAAAAACAATTATGTGTTTGCGCAAAATTATAGTAAAGTTGTGTCTCAGATTAACGTTTCCTCAATAAATGCACTTTAATGGTCAAATCAGCTGCATTTCTCCTGGGCGGCGCAGTGAAATGCAGCTGATTTGATGTTTGCTCCAGGAGTCCTGGAGTGAGACAAAGCTGGCTTGGTATGGCAAGCCAAGTGTTTCATTAATAGCCACTTTTACCTATTAATGAGACACTTGGCTTGCCATATTAATCAAGGACCCTCTAGTAGCTGAAAATGGTAGTGTTCAATATTTTCCATGACATTGTCAGATCTCAGCCAAAAATTGGGTTATAAATATGAGGGGAAATATATAAATATGTCGCTTCGCTGTATAAGACGCAGGCATGCAATTTTATGCAAAAAACTGTGACCTATAAAGCAAAAATTACGATAACTGCAAGTTTTATTTTAAGATTAAAGCAAATCTGTTTTAAGAAGATATTAGTATGTAACATACACCGGTCAGAAGGCTACAAATTAGACGTCTTTCACAGAAACCACAACCTTGTAGACAATGGGTTACCTTGGGTCCACCAGCACAGCTGGTAGTAAAAATTAGTAGCAGTGTAATGTTTTTTTTTTAGCTTTCAAGCTTAGCTTTTAGCTTTTTTAGCTAACAACTCCTGTTACAAAATTAAAAACTTTTAAATCATAATCAAGTTTGAATTCCAGATTTTAACAAACAAATCTGTGGTGATTTTCAAGCACAAATGGCAGCAGCAGCTACGATATTTCAAAACTAACACAACATGGACGGGAGAAGAGTTTTATGTACTCTTAGATATTTTACTCCAAGTTGTAGTTTCACCAGTAGTAAAACACAAAAGTCCCTCCATTCTTAAGGGACATGTAACATAAAAACATCAAAACAGCTCTTGACCTTGTTTTCAAAAGCACAATGTGCTTATTCATATTTTGGGGTTTGCAAGTTTTATATTTGAATCAGCTCTAACTGTAAGAATAATTTCTTTTTTGCAGGGGCTCATGGGTAGACCTGGTTCAATGGGCCAACCAGGACCAAAAGGGGATAAAGTAAGAAGTTTTATTGTTTTAATATGTATATACATCTCTGTTATAATAATCTAATATACCTACTCTGTAAGTCTAGTTTTGTTAACAGTAAACTGGAGATGGATAAACCCAGTATAGGCTTGCACCAGCTCTAGTACTGCAAATGTATTTTTATCCAAATATTTTCAGCTATAGATTATTACCAAAGTTTATCGACCATATTCAAGAAAGAATGTGATGAGAAGTATCATATTTTTACGATTTCTAATATTCTTTAGATAATATATTAAATATGCTATTTAA